AATTCCCAAATGAGTATGATGAGGAGGCGTGAGTCCTCATTGATGTGCTTGGTGTTGTAACCAAGGGTTATGGTAACTGTAAATGCTGCATGCTAAGGATATTAGTTGATTTTATGATGTTATCTGATACATATTGTTTCTATTTTGAGTTGGCCGATGATATCTACTCAGTACCCATGTTTTGTACTGACCCCCTACCTTTATGTTTTCTTCTTTGTTATTTGTGGAGTGCAGCAAACGTGCCATCGTCTTCAACTCAACCGCAACTCTAGTCAGTCTTCATTACTCCGGATTTCAGGGTGAGCTAATGCTTCTAGCTTGGACTGGATCTTCCTCTTCATGTCTTGATGCCTTGAACTTCCGGCATGGACTAGCTTTTACTTATTTTAGTTTCTTAGAATACTCTTAGTTTAGTAATTTGAAGTAGATGTTCTTGTGATGATTACTTCCAGATTTTGGGGATAATAATAGTTGTTGAGTTTTTAGAAGTTATTGAATTGGTTTTATTAATGAGTTTAAGTCTTCCGCATTACTTTCTGTTGATATTATATTGAAATGTTAAGGTTTAGATTGGTTGGTTCGCTCACATAGGAGGGAAAGTGTGGGTGCCAGTCGCGGCCCGATTTGGATCGTGACAACATCTCAAGCAAAAATTCTACTTATTAATTCTATATTTACAAGATTTTTTAATGTATGAGTGATTTTCATAGGTTATTTACAATTTTATATTAATTTTGATTTTATTTTTTGTGTAGCTAAAATGAATACTTTCATCAACAACAAGTTCAACAAGAAGAAAGTGATGTTCATAATAGGAACAACAGGAACACCACTTTCTTCTTGTTGCTCTGATTATGAAAACCACTTTTTTCTTGTTGAGCTTGTTGGTGGTGATGAAAGTAATAGTTTTAGCCACACATAAAATAGAATTATATTTAATATAAAATAGTAAATAATCTCATGAAAATTACTTATACATATACTCATACATTAAAAAAAACTTGTAGATATAAAGTCGATAAGTAAAAATCTTGCTTGAGATGGAATAAACTATGTAAAAGAATATCAGAATTTTTACTCCAACTGTAAATTCCATTAAAAATTCGATGATTCATTAGGGTTTTTAAATAGACAAGTACCTAAAAGAGAGAATCAAATTATATAAATAGACCATGATCACATTTTTCATTCTTCAATTGTTGAATTCTCAAATTAGCGATAAATTAATTTGTAAAATTGGATTAATATTTTCAATTGCTGATTGAAAAAAATGTACTTCTATTAATTATTCAACATTATTTAATTTATTTTCTTCTCTTAAGTACTTATCCATTTGAGGAATATCCATGAATTGTGAATTTCTTTGATGTAATCGGCATATTTAATAAATATTATTTGTACCTTATCTAATAATCCTGAATAGAACATAATTTTCAAAAATAATTTAATTTATTCAAACAAAATTTTATAAATAGAACGAGTATAAAAAAATATTACGACAAAAAGATAAAAATATTAGTGTATAACTCTTAAATGACATCTATATGACATTGCGACAAAAAAATATGTTTTGGTAAGTAAAATAAAATATATTATTTCCTCCGTTTCAAAAAGAATAATCTGGTTTGATTTGACATGAAGTTCAAGAAAATAAAGAAGATTTTTGAATCTTGTGGTTCTAAATTAAATTTATGTGAAATTTACAAAAATTTCCTTTAATCTTGTGATATTAAACATGCCACGTGAAAAGTTAAAATTAAAATCTTGTGATTCTAAATTAAAGTTATGTGAAATTTACAAAAAAAAATGTCATTCTTTTTTAAACAGATAAAAGAAAAAAGCTAATTTATTTTTAAACGAAAAAAATTGATAATTATTTTTCATTTGTATAACTCTTAGTTGCAAAAGAAAGTGATAGTTCTTACCGATAAGATCACAAACACTGATTTTTTTCTTGCTCTTATTATGAGTACCATTTTCTTCTTGTTCAACTTGTAATCATTGAGGAAAACACTCACTTTTCTACACATAAAACAAAATAAGTGGTCACGTTAAAATAGTAGATACTCACACCAAAATCACTTATGCATATCAAAAAATATTTAAAACTTAAATAATATAAAATATATCAAGTTAAGAGTGAAACTTACTTGAGACAGAATGATAGTATAAAAAATATGTTATGCTTGTAATAGTTAACGAAGATTGTATGATTGGCTTTTATAGTAATATGTTGAGTGTGGGCTTATTAATTGGTATACCAAATTCAGAATAAATTGATATCTTTTAAGATAAGAATAAATTTTAAATATGTGTGATAGACGTGTCATAAACTATTCTATCTAAAATATTTTAGATTAATAAGTAGATATTTTTTAGGATAAGAACTATTGTTTAAAACGTATGACAAATGTGTCAGCATCTAGAATATTGTGAATTAACACTACAACAAAAATATTTTAACGTTAATAAATATATACATTAATAAAGAGTAACATTTTACAGATATTAGTTAATTATCATTTTATCAAGTATTATTATGAGCTTTAGGGACAATTTTAAAGACCATTCGTTAAAAATATATTTAGCTGCAATCATATTATATCCGTAATTAATAGTCGCTAAAGATCCATTTTAAGTACATATTTTCTAGGATAAGTTTAACTCTTAAAAACATATTTAAAAGGGATAGGACGTACATACAAGTTACATCAATGTACGCATGATTTTTATGGAAAGGTGTCACATTTTAAAATGAAAAAGTAAATT